ACGCTTTTCCGTTTTAAATTGGATATCAGCATAATTCTTAGCACACTGCTGATTATTTAGTAAATGTTGTCCAATCGATGAATTTCGTTAAAAGTTGGACAGTGTTGTGTTTTTTGCAGTCACACGCTGGTTGGTTACATTCAGTATCTTGATGTGATCAGCTATTTGGATAAAATCAGCTATTTGAAATGATCTTTGGGATATCCAGCCTACACTAGGGGTTCACAAGGTGGATGTCAGGATGCCATGTGGGGTTACAAGCTAGAATTTTGTGGTTGCAAAATTGGAGACAGTAATGATTGCCATGGAGTTTGGACCAGGTAACAACAGCCATTCTACTGCTCTAACAGGCCCTTGTTCTGATGGGTTGTGACACTTTAGGCCTCGCAATAGGGTCACAGTGGCAAGATGTTTTTTGAAGCACTGGCCTACATAAATAGTATCACACTGCCACTCACATTCACAATCCACATTACTTGTTTATGTAATAGGCAGAATGTCTTTATGGATTGATGGCAGCAACTGTTAGTGGTGAACTCACTTGGGTTGCTACTGCACAATAGCAGTGTGAAACAGCTAACTTCTCCTGTTGCTCAAACATTTGAGATACTTTAACCTTCAGGGTAACGTGAGATAGACTTGGCATTTTTTAAGGACCAAAAAAACAAAACCTTAGGCCTATTCATGAGTTTGCACAATATACAGAAAGGAACGATTATCAGGGTAGCCATTATCTCACAGGATACCTTTGATATGCCCTATTTCAGCATCAGGCTTGCGTGGCACTCAAATGGTTTGGGTCTTAGTTACAAGGTTGCCAATAAAGCCGATCCGAAACTCACTTCCTGAAAGGATGGCAGATGCATTAGTAGTATTTAGATTTAGTAGCAGTATTTAAGTAACATTTGGATGAGTACTTGAAACACCATAGTTTACAAGGCTACATACCAAGTGCTGGGAAATGGGATTAGAACAGATAGATGATGGATGACCAGTATAGACATGATGGGCCAATGGTCATTTTTTTCCATGGTATAAACATATTGCTCCACGCTTTCTGTATCACATAAAAAGAAAGAGTCCTGATTGATTGCCAAGTGGACAGTTATTTGTGGAGACATTGACATGTGTAAATGCAAATTGCATTGTTTAAAAGAACATCATTTTGATGGGGTAAATATGGAAAAGCTATCTCTTCTCAATAGAAAGTACCGAACGTGGTCCCTAGAAGCTTCTTTTTCTGAATTTCTCCAGTTATGTATTGGGAAGACAGAAATCATTGTTTCTGGATATCCCTACAAAGTGTTTCTCATTACTGACTCCATCCCTCTCCCAGCAATTATCTGGGATGAAGCTGTCACATCTGATCTTGATTTGAGCTTGTAAACGCGTGTTCACACCATCGCCAAGACAGTCTATTTCCACTCTCAGTCGCACTATTGACTTCACCCTCATCAGCTCATCTTTTCCTGAAGCCCTCATTCATGCCTTCAATACCTCCCGGTAGATACACTCCCGGTTGGTTGCTCATATTGTACCCTCTAAACATAAAATCACTCAAAATTCACTGTGTGTTCATTCACAGATATTTCCATTGCCCGATAACCCTTGAGCTTGATGATGATCTACTTCAAGTCAACAAACATCTTGGTTTTAAAATTTTCATCTTGTTTTCAAATCCTTCCATGGCCTTGTGCTCCCTATCTCTAATTTTCACCAGCGTTAAATACTTCTGAGGTACGTGCAAATTCTGACCTTTTGTGTATTCTCGATTAAGACCACTCAACCATTGGTGGCCATGCCTTCAGCTGGCTAGGACCCAAGCTCTGGAATTCTCTCCCCAACCCTCCAAGTCTCTATACCTCATTATCCCCCTTTAAGGCTGTCCTTTTTAAAAATTGCTTTATTGATCAAAACTTAGTTTTATGATGCTCCTGTGAAACATCATGGAGTGTTTCATATGTTAAAGGCTGTTATCAGACCAATATAGCAGTCACACTGCCCTTCAATATTGGATATATTATTGAATCTATAGGCCATAATGTTTTGACCTTATGTTTCTTAGGGTGGTTCGATACAGAACAGAAAATCTAAGCGGTGCCTGGAGCTTCAAGGAAGTCCTGACAATGACTTTGGGTTCAAACCTATACTTCAGAAGTGTAGTGGCCAACGCTGGACCATCAGTAGTGTCTTAAAGAAGACATCCTCTTAATGAACCTTTGCCCCTTCCCCCGTTGTTCTCATTCTCTCCATGCTACTGTGTAGCACAATTTTGCAAATTTCTGTTGTATATTTCTTTCATGTCTCAGGTTTGTGTATGGGTAAAGAGGAATTTCTTTTTCATAATTTAGAATTAAGTTGTACATGATTTGCAGATAATTGTTTGTCAGAAGGATCAAACTGGAGACAAAATAGTTAAATATTTTCTATGTGTAAATAGACACATGACAAATGAACAATATTTATAATGGGTATCATGTTAATATGTAATGATGTAACACATCTGTTCTAATGTGGGTGAGTGAATAGTTTGGTGAAATGACCCCATTCATCAAATCAGTGACATCCAGCCAATGAAACCCATGTAGGTGTAAAAATCTCTCCAATAAATTCTTCCCTCGTCTAGTTTGAGCTCAAATGAAAATTGTTGATTTTTGATGCAGGCAAAATGACAATAAAATGCTACATCACTTAAATGAATACTGGAGTAGAAAATGTTCCATACAATCCCCTCAGCAACTCTGAAAAATACATCAAGGACAGACAGGCAAATTTAAGAAGGGGTTGAGCCTGAGGAAGTGTATGCGTTCACAAACTATGGACCACCTCTGGTGGTCTCACCGTGATATTCCACAAAAGTAACACAGTTCATGGGGAAAGTGCTATTAAAATTGTCATCAGACCAATGTAGCAGGGGATAAATGTCCTGTATTAGCACTCACACTGCCTTCCAACAGTCGATGCTCAAGAACTCATTTTACATCATTGAATTTATTGGCCATGTCATATTTCTTATGGTGGTTTGATACAGAACAGAAACTCAGATGCCTGCAGCTTCAAGGAAATCCTGATGTTGAGTTTGGGTTCCAACCTGTACTTCAGGAGTGTACCAAACATCAATGGACTGTCTTTAATGTCTAAAAGAAGATATCATTCCAGTATAGAGCAAAGTAGTTAATCAGGTTCCTCTGCTGAGTGGAAGGCATAACCTTCGAATGTGACTAACAACTGAGAGCATATAGTCATTCCATTTATCCTGTAACTGCAGGTAATAAGACAGGATCAAGTTCCACACTGGTATTATGATAAAATTATCCAATATTTATACATCTCCAACTTATTACAAGAAGGATGGATTGTATTTTTAGTAGTTCTGGAGATACAGGCAATGCTAGCATTTATTATCCATCCATAGTTGTCCTGAGAAGGAGTTGATGAGCAGCTACAATTCTCCAGGAATCTACTTTAATTTAAATTGTACAGGTACAACACGGGGATCAGACTCAACCCAGTAGAATGTAGCATCGATGCCAAGATATTCTTTTGCACAAAGTATGGACTTAGACCTCTGTGCCAGGTCATTTAAGAAACAACTAGATGCAGCACCAGGTGGCCAGGGTTTGTTCTGAATAGACTGGTTGAATGGCTTTCCTTAACCAGAGCTATTTTGTGATCCCATCAAACTCCCAGGAGTCCATCTGTTCATTGGAGACATCAATCATTCTTAAAGGAACCAAAAAGGCCTGATGAACGCTTATGGCTGAATGATTGGTTGCTGGGATTTTGTCAGTGGTATTTTGGGGATCACAGGAATTGTTCCTTTCTCCCACGTCTGGTTTCCTTTTAAATTCACCGCTGCAGTGAATTCCACATTCTCACCACTCTAGTTTATTCTGAATTGCTTATTGATTTATCCAGCTTGAATCTTTAACCCTAATTACCCCTATACAATAAACCCCTATCAATCACAAACTTAAAATCCAGCCTTGATTATTTTGGAGTAGAGTGAATTACAGCTTTCCACTACCTAGAATTTTATCAATTATATGTTTTTCATGTGGCAGTGGCTGGGGCTGCATACTTACCAGTCACAATCCTCTTTAACAGTTGCTATCATTGTATTTGCACCTCCCCTCAGTAAGTAAGGCAATCCATTTATTCAATGCTTTCAATAGTGTAAAGTACCAATGGGCACAAGCAAACAAAGCTCAACATTGAGCTCTATGGGAATATTAGGACAGGTGTGCAAATGTGGTCAGAGGTAGATTTATGACTTAAAGGAGGAAACACAAGAACTCGGAGCAAGGGTAGACAACTCAGCCCCTCAAGCCTGCTCTGCCATTTGACATGATCATATTGGAATTGTTAAAACTGGAATTCCTTCTCTAAACTGCCCTGACTTAAATCTCTCATTAAATCTTGCTCCTTTGATTGAGGCAGCCAGTTGTAATGTCACTGGAATAGTAATCCAAAGACTCAAAACCTAGGAACATGGGTGCAAGTCCCAAGAAATTAATCTGGAATTGCGGTGACCATGAAACCATTGTTGATTAGTATAAAAACCCATCTGATTTACTAATGCCCTTTAGGGAAGAAAGATCTGCTGTCCTCGAATGGTCTACATTCCACAGCACTTAGATGCTTACATGGCCCTGCCAGCATTCAGTTGTATCTAACTACTATAAGGTGTGACAAAAAGAACAAAATGGCCGGACAACTCAGCACAAACCAAGGCACCAGAAATGAAAACAGCACACAGCCCTGTTGATTCTGATCCTTAATGACCGTCACCTTGTTCCAAAATGGGGAGAGCTGTTCCACAGACTGGCAACGGCGTGAATGTCATTTTCACAGAATCATATCTTGTAGACAATATCCTGAACAGCATCAGCACAGTTGGTAGTATTCAGTTGGGTGGGAGTTACTCTGGGAGTCGTCAGTATTAACACTGAACTTCATGAAGTCTCACGGCATTAGGTCAAACATGGGAAGTGAAATCTCTTGTGGATTACTACTTACTCTGCACTGTCACTCCTTTACACAGTTGTTGAATCAGTACTCCCACAAACATCACTTTAAAAAGGGACATGCTTCAGGTAGCAAGGACACAGAATATACTCTGATTGGGGGACTTCAATATCAAACACCGAGTGGTTCAGTTGTACCTCTACTGACCAAGTTGGACAAATTCTAAAGACATAGCAGCAAGACTGAGTCTGTGGAAAGATGGTAAGGAAATGAACAAGAAGTAAAAAAATTCTTGACCTAAACCTCACTAATTTACCTGCAGCAGATGCATCTGTCTGTGACAGTCCTGGTAGAAATGACTACTGCATAGACATTTTGGAAATGATTTCTGCCTTTGTATTGGAGGATATTCTTTATTGTATTGTACTACGTCCAGGCTGAAATGGGATAGACTTACAACAGATATAGCAACTCAGGACCAGATATCCATGAGGAACTGTAAGCCATCAGCAGCATCAGAATTGCATTTAACAATCTGTAACCTCATGGCCCAGCATATCCCACTCTCTACCATGATCAAAAGCCAGAGATCATCCCTGGATTAATGAACAGTGTAGAGGGCATACCAGGGGCAGTTCTAGTCATACATGAACATGAGGTGTTAGGCTAGTGATGCTACAACAACAGAAGAATTATTGTCTGCCAAACGGAGAGACAGGATAAATTATTCTATAGCCAAGAGATCAGATCTAAGCTCTGCCATCCTGCCACTTGCAGTCTTGAATGACTGTGGACAACTAATCAACTCACTGGAGAAGGAGGTTCCACAAGCATCACCATCTTTAATGAAGGCAGACTCCAACATATCAATGTAAAGGGGCGAGCTAAAGGATTTACAAACATCTTCAGTCAGTACTGTCAAATCGACAGTCTATCTCAGCTTCCTCCCCAAATCCCCAGCCCAGAATCAAAGATGCCAGTCTTCAACCAAATCCAATCCTTTTTTTGTTCATTTTTTGTGGAATGTGGGCGTCGCTGGCTGGCCAGCATTTCTTGCCCATCCCTAGTTACCCTTGAGAAGGAGGTGGTGAGCTGCCTTCTTGAACCACTGCAGTCCACCTGTTGTGCATTGACCCACAATACTATTAGGGATGGAATTGTAGGATTTGGACCCAGTGACAGTGAAGGAACAGCGATATGTTTCCAAGTCAGGATGGTGAATAGCTTTAAGGGGAACTTGAAGGTGATGGTGTTCAATTATATCTGCTGCACTTGTCCTTCTAGATGGAAGTGGTCGTGGGTTTGGAAGGTGCTGTCTGGGGATCTTTGGTGAATTTCTGCACTGCATCTTGTAGATAGTAGCAGCATTATGTACTGAGTGTTGGTGGTGGAGGGAGTGGATGTTTGTGGATGTAGTGCCAATCAAGCGGGCTGTTTTGTCCTGGATGGTGTCAAGCTTCTTGAGAGTTGTTGGGGCTGCATTCATCCAGGCAAGTGGGGAGTATTCCATCACATTCCTGACTTGTGCCTTGTAGATGGTGAACAGGCTTTGAGGAGTCAGGAGGTGAGTTACTCGTTGCAGTATTTCTAGCTTCTGACCTGCTGTTGTAGTCACTGTGTTTATGTGGTGAGTCCAGTTGAGTTCATGGTCAATGGTAACCCCCATGATGTTGATAGTGGGGGATTCAGTGATGGTAACACCATTGAATGTCAAGGGACGGTGGTTAGATTGTCTCTTACTGGTGATGGTCATAGCCTGGCATTTGTGTGGCGCAAATGTTACTTGCCACTTGTCAGCGCAGCCTGGATATTGTCCAGATCTTGTTGCATTTGGATACAGACAGCTTCAGTGTCTCAGGGGTTGTGAATGGTGCTGAACATTGTGTAAACATCGGCAAACATCCCCACTTCTGACCTTATGATGGAGGGAAAGTCATTGATGATGCATCTGAAGATGGTTGTGCCTAGGACACTACCCTGAAGAACTCCTGCAGAGATGTCCTGGAGCTGAGATGACTGACCTCCAACAACCACAACCATCTTCCTATGTGTCAGGTATGACTAAGCACCGGAGAGTTTACCCCCTGATACCAATTGATTCCAGTTTTCCTAGGGCTCCATGATGCCACACTCAGTTGAATGCAGCCTTAATGTCAAAGGCTGTCACTCTCACCTCGCCTCAGGAATTCAGCTCTTTTGTCCATGTTTGAACCAAGGCTGTAATGAGGTCAGGAGCTGAGTGGCCCTGGCAGAAACCAAACTGGGCATCACTGAGCAGGTTATTGCTAAGCAGGTGCTGCTTGGTAGCACTGTTGATGACACCTTCCATCACTTTACCAACGATCAACAGTAGACTGATGGGGCGGTAATTGGCCGGGTTGGATTTGTCCTGCTTTTAGTGTACAGGATATACTTGGACAATTTTCCACCTTGTTGGGTAGATACCAGGATAGTAACCATACTGGAACAGCTTGGCTAGGGGAGCAGAGAGTTTGGAACACAGGTCTTCAGTACTATTGCCGGAATATTATCAGGGCCCGTAGCCTTTGCTGTATCCAGTGTCTCCAGCTGTTTCTTAGTATCACATGGAGTGAATCAAATTGGCTGAAGACTGGTATCTGTAATGCTGGGAGCCGCTGGAAGAAGATGAAATGGATCATCAACTCGGCACTTCTGGCTGTAGATTGCTGAGAATGCTTCAGCCTCATCT